GCGGCGAGCCCGGTTCCCGGGCCAGGGCGGTGGGCGCGGCGGGCGCGCGAGGTGCCTCGGCCTTGTCCTCATCGTCCTCGTTGCTCTGGTCGCCGTCGTGCTCGTCGATCTTGTCGATGTCTATGCTCTCTAGGTCTATCTCCTCGTCGTCCTCGGCCTTCTCTGGGTCCCCCTCGGTGTCGCTTCCGAAGAGAGCACCGTCCTCCTGGTCCTTGCTGCGCGCACCCCACGTCACCTTGTTCTCCTTCTTGAGGCGCCGGCGCGCGTTGGCGAACCAGGTGGAGACCTGCGTGAGGGTCATCTTGGTGATGATGGCCAGCATGATCTTCTCGCCCTTGGTGGGGTAGGGGTTCTTGCGGTGCTCGTTGAGCCAGGCTTTGAGCGTGCTGGTGCTCTCCCGCGTGGCGTTCTTGGGCCGCCCGGGATCCCCGTACTGGAACTGGCCGTAGGGGTAATACGCTGGGGCCGTGTGGGCTGCGAAGGTGGCGGGGTGCACTCCCGGGTTGTCCTTGAGTTCATACTGAGAACCCTGCAGCCACCAGGCCCAGCGAGGGAGGAGAGTAGGGATGCAGAGAGAGAGAGGAAGGGAGGGAGAGAGAGAGAGATGAGTCCCTACAACTGGGAAGGCGCCTCCCCCCTGCTGGGAAGCTAGCCCTAACGCATCTCCCACCTGGGAGGGAGAGGGGACAGACCGCAAGCCTCCTCCAGCAGCTGCCCTTCCACCCATCATGGAGAGCGTTGTCACTCAAGAAAAGTTCCAGACTCCGTCCACCTCTAGAAGGCCACAGCAGAGCCTCGGCCCCTGGAACCTCCCTAGGCCTCCCTCAGAGCCGCCTCCCCCACCTCCCATAACACCTCCAGAAGCCAGATTCCCAAGTTTATCTCACACTTGCCAGAGGGGAAAACCTTTTAACCAGCCTGATAAAACAGCTTCTCTAAGCGCAGAGAATCTAGAGCTGACGCCCTCCTCCCTTCGACCCTGAGGGGGTCAAACAAAATAAACCGTCTCGGGTTTTCTTCTAGTCCAAATCCATCAGCAGTGTAAAATGAAAGCCCTTTCCTTTTAGCTCCCAAATTAATCTGCATATAATGGCTTGCCCGCACTTAAAGGTCTGTAGTGGGTGACAGGTAATTTACAATTTTAATCCTGACCATCATCAAGAACAATAACACAAACACCATTTGTTCTTTTTAAATACAAAAGGAGGTTTTATCCGGTAAAATATTAACGCGGGGACCCAGAGCACAGGCTGCACAGAGCAGAACACTTTCGAGGCCTCTCTCCTCGGTGACTTTATCGCTCAAGTTTGACTTTGATCAGGAGCGAGGGAGCACAAACTGTTTGCAGGCATTTAGAGGCCGTGATTTATTTGCAATCAATATTCTTTTTATCATTGGTAGTAAAACACAGCAAGTCAAATTATCCCATCAGGTTTTTTGGTAAATAACATTTTATCTTTCTAACAACCTCATTAGGCCTCATTATTACCATAAATTGCCCAGACAGACATTCACTCACAATTTTATCTTCTGACTTCCAAATCCCCAACCCTAATGGCTTAGAGACCGAGGCCTAGGATTTGGTTTAGGTCTAGGCTTCCTTTCCCAGAACCCGCAGGAGACCGCAAGGAAACGCGGGGACACTCACACAAGCCTTGGGAGGGGGTGGGGGGTAGAATTTCAATATAGCTTCCTCTCTGAAAAAAAAAAATCAAGCATCTCCCTTCCCGACTCCGCCACAATGGGAGCAGATCCTCATCACACAGCTCCCTCCCTCCCCCACAAACACACGCCCGCCGCTTTCCCAAATGGTACACATCTGTATTCAAAATCACTGTTAAAAAATTAGAATCTTCCATGTAAAAATTGTCGAGCTGCTGTGTTAGCAGAGGAGGACCCGGGACTCTGAGAAAGTTGCAGAAAGCAGAAGATTTCTTTGACTAATTAGTTTGGCGGGCGAGGCCACGGAGACAGGGTTTCTCTGGCTAGATCTCGTTTTTTGCCTAATCTTCGCAAAAAAGTCCTCTGCACTTTTCTAATTATTTTGGTTGTAACTGTAAGGAAGACATTTCAGCCTCGTCTCTGCTGGGAATTCTTTCTGAAAGGATACCTTGTAAATCTCTCATCGCTTCCCCTGCATCCCGGCCGCCGGAACAAAATGGGAGCTGATCTTTTTCGACAGCAACCGATCTGAAAGGCCGCTGGGGCCGCTTTCAGAGAAATAGGCTTTCTTTTCAAAACTACATGAAAAGTTACAGGAAAACACAGCGGCCGCTTTGCTGGTGTACGGCTGTCGGGTATTTATTTCCTGTCTCTTCCTTCGGGGACTGGGGAGACCTGGGAGCATGAAAATTGCGTGATCCCGCCCGCAGCCTCGCGGGAGGGGGCTGCCTGCCCGGCCCCCCCTCCCCGCGCCAGGCGCGCAATTCCCACCAGCCCAAAGTTTAAACCGAACTTTGTAGTCAGAGGTAGGGAAATGGATCCTTTGGGCCGACAGACGGGCCAACGGCTCCACGGAGCATTAAATTTGCAGCCCCCCCCCCATCTGACACCCGCTGGGACAGGAGTCTAAGAGGACAGCATTTATTTTAAGCGCAGGGACACTTCTCTTTAATCCTCCATCACGTAACGCGGGGAGAAAAGTGCTTTTCTTTCGGTACAAATGAAATCAAAACTTCGGCAACTTAACGAAAGTCAGAGCAAACACCGTTTCAGACGCCAAAAATTATTTCGATTTTTTTTTATTTCAAATTTGCACTCGGCCCGTCAGACCTCCATTGTTAGGCTTATTTTGACCGACCCTACTAAGCTTTAAGGAGCTTCCTCTGGCAGACTCGGATACAGCTGCGTGAGCTCTGCCAAAGAGGGAGAGAATCGAGTCTCTCCGGCCCAGCCCCAAAGCTGAAAAGGTCGCGCCAGCCGCGGGCCGAGAAGGAGCG